ACCATAAACGCTCTCTCATTCTAGGCGCCCCCATGATCCCCCAAACTCTCCTCGCCGCGGCACGATTAAAACCGCTCACTCAACTCGGCAACCCGAGCGTTATTCTTGCTCTCGCCCCCGGCTTGTTGACCTTCCACCCTGCATGCGCCTGCGAAATATTCCCGGACGACGGTGACCGCGGCAAGTTCGTCCGTAACTCGTCGTCACTGGAGCTGGTCGCCAGCAGTTCGCAGTCAAAATGCACAGCTTCCAACAGCTCTTGATAGCAATCGCTCTCATCGATGCTGCGCTCAATGTCGAACACTTCGACAAGGCGAGCGACGTCGTAGTCGTCACAGACCGCATGCTCGAAACATGGAAGGTAAACGAGGAAGCTGAGGCTCGAGACGCCAAGAGAGCCAAGTCTGTGAGTGCGTGCAACGAGACACCGCGCTGGAGGCTGGCTACATGGCCAACCTCCAGCTCCGCTCGGATCCGCCCCTCCGAAGGACCTGCATATAAATCGATTTATCCACAAAATTACCGTGCCATTTTCATAACAAATTTAGCAGGATTATAGGAATATACAATGGGTCCTAGCAGTATAGTTATCTCATATTTTATTTTTGGCGTGTCGCAAGTTGCGGACGGACGTTGCAAGCGTTCAGGATTGCTAACCCTAATCACTTTTCTCCGGCAATGAAAACGCGTGAAAAATCGCATCCTTTATACGGTACGCGCCAGTAATACCTTCAACTTGAGCACAGTCATGAAATGCTCCAAATAAGAAATCTGGGCGATGTTCGAAAACACAAATGCTTAGAAAGCACCACTGTAGTCAAAGTAAACAAACACGATGACACGGGCGTTTTTGCTGTCTTGAGAGTGCTGCCATGACATCGCCGCACGAGTAGGTGGATCTTCCCTTTAGAACGTGCTGGGTTATCATAGCGACGCACAACGAAAATTCACAGTCAAGGATAGCGCTTTTACGCGGAATGATAAGCTTCCACCACGCCGTCTACGTCGACGATCACAACCGACGCCATGTTTGCGGATTGAAGAAGTCGCCCCGCGGACCGGCATGCAACGAGCGCGAACACTTCTCGACTTGCGATTGGTCTGTCGTTGCGGTTTCCAACCCCGCGGAGCGACGCACGCACGTGAACGACACATGCGTGCGTCCCTCCGTCGCTATGGCAACTGAAGCTTCTCTCTTCGCTTCTCCCCGCTTCTTCGAGCAACCTCCTCGCCCCGCGAGTTCCGCTTGCGGCCAGCGTTGTGCGCCGTTATCTTGGTTATCTAGTGTCGCACAAAGAAGCGTGCTCGCTGCGCCAGTTGGCGCGGTCGGCGGGCTGTTTCTGAAACCGCACTATAATCGGAATTTCCCTTCGCATGCCTGCATTTTAAGCGGTATGTAATTACATGGAGTTCTATGGGAGGCGAACCGGTGGATTAGAAAAGCCGCGTTATGCCCGGTCCTGCACTATAAGCGGTTACGTTGTAAGTGGTCTGTACTGTAGTGCGGATTTTCGTGACTCCCGCGACATACGTTATATGCGGTCTACACTGTACTCCTGAGTCCTACCGCTCGGTGACGCTATGCTAGCCCTTTTTTTCCTTTTAGCTGCACGTCATCACCATCATCATTATTATTATTTTGCTTTGTTTCCTTTCGCTTTCGCATCGCCAGTTGACATTTTGCACTCGTGGATTTGAGCCTCTCATCTCGTTCCTCATATCAGCAGAAAATGAGGCTCTGACGACGACTACCGCCCGCAACCATTGACAGCGGACATTACGAACGGATTAACATTGCTGTTGAATGTCTACAACGGGAACACAATGCTCGCGCAAATGCAAGCAGACATGATCGCGAGCAGGCGTAACATGAAGCAAACCGCTATGGACGGATTTTTGAAGCCTGCTTAGGCGTAATAAAGGCAAGTTTTTTCATCTACCGACTTTTCGGACTGCTTGATTATTCGGACCATTTCAGGGGTCCCCTCCAAGTCCGAATAATTGGCCGGCGACTGTATTTTATAATATTGTGAGAAAATAGAGTATAGAGGAGACAGTTCCGTGTGCTCGGTAAAGGCAAAAGTAAAGCTCAACAGAGTGAAATGCACAGGACATATGCTCCTGCTTTGCCCTTTGCACTCCAGTTTTATACATTTGCAGATGATATTCGTGGCCCTAGCACAATCCTTTATAACTGCCAGCTGTGAACTCAAAAACGGCAGGACTGCAATGAGGCAAATAAAATCTTAATGTTTTCAAGGGGTGCTCAGTAACTTTTTGCGTATTACGGAGAAAAGTGGTGATTTTTAAGAGACGTAAAAAGATTTTATTTTAAGAAACACGTTGCTAAATATGATACATCAAAGTGCGGCCAATAAACTGCTTTTTACATGAAAATAAGGTTTATATTTATGTCTGAAAAAAGTTCAATTCAAATACTGAACTCTGGATTTGTGCAAAAATGAGGACAAGAAGTTTAATCATTCCTGGCTGTATTAAATCATACTATGACTTTTAAAAGTCCTAAAGTACAGAGTGTGTCCAATACACACCACTATCACTTCTGTAAGTTAGAAAGCTCCAGCTGATACTGTCTTTTTCGTCTGTCGGAACATGTGCATCTGTGGCGTCATGCCTTTCAAAGACGCTGTCATGCGGGGGTGCATGTCTTCAAGAACACTTTTGTTTTTGCACAAGACCTTGATTCTTCATAGCACTGCTCTGGCTACTCCTCTGCTGGTATTTTTATGGCTTGCAGCACACAAAAAATGTGTACCCTGGCTCAGGACAGCCTATACTTTGTTTCAGCTTAAGTCCAGACGCATCAAGCAGCATCAAGAACGCGAGTCATCAGGCTTTTTTTGTTCATGATTGGTTCAGCGGTTATAAAACAGGTACAGAAACACGGCAAACACCGTAATGGCACACTTATGTCGCTGTCAGATTGGTCCATCAGCTCGTAGCGTCGGATGACAATCTCCAATGAGCACCCGTCGATATTCTGCAGCTCGGAAATGAAATGTTGCTGCAGGAGCTCAAGTCAATTGATCCGACATCATCCACAGTCCTCACTGCCGCTGTCGTCCAAAAAACAAGCAGCAAAAGTAGCTATATGGTGCGATGAGGCTATTTTTGTAGCAATCCCTAATGACACCAGGATGCCATGTTTGACAGGTGCCATCAATGCAAAGATTTATTTCTGATAACTCACCAGCCTGGGAGAGAGCATAAAACAAAATCAAAATTGAAGCTGTAGTTCTTCGGCTATTCACGAGATGGCGCAGTGTGTTCAAGGCGCCGAATTTGAAGCCTGGCAGTGCGCGAAATCCATTGATCACGGGGGATTGATGGCCAATGGGTGTGGTACGGAAAGAGTTCAATCAACAGAGGTTCCAACAAAGAGGGATTTTTTGAGCTAGCGATGAATTTGCTTATAGTATTCCTATATACAGTATAGACCACTTACAATGTAACCGCTTATAGTGCAGGACCGGGTATAGCGCGGTTTTTTTAAACCACCGGTTCGTCTCCCATAGAACTCTATGTAATTACATACCGCTTAAAATGCAGGCGCGCGAAGGGAAATACCGGTTATAGTGCGGTTTCTGGCACAGCCCGCCGGCCGCGCCGACGACCGGAGCAGCGAGCACGCTTCCCTGTGCGACACTAGATAACGGCGCTGACGGCGGGAGCAGCAAGCGGCACTCGCGTGGCAGTTGCTCCACAGCCGAGTTGCTCGAAGAAGCGAAAGGCTTCAGTTGCCATAGCGACGGAGGGACGCACGCACGTGTCGTTCACGTGCATGCGTCCCTCCGCTGCGTTGGAAACAAACAACCACAGCGACAGACCAATCGCAGGTCGAGGAGAAGTGTTGCGCGCGTTACATGCCGGTCGCGGGCCGGCTGCTTCTATCCGCAAGCACGGCGTCGGTTGTGATCGTCGTCGTAGACGGCGTTCATCTCATCGTTCCGCGTAAAAGCGCTATCCTTGACTGTGAATTTTCGTTGTGTGTCGCTATGATAACCCAGCACGTGCTAGAAGGGAAGATCCACCTACTCGTGCGGCGATGTCGTGGCGGCGCTCTCAAGACGGCAGAAACGCCTGTGTCGTCGTGTTTGTTTACTTCGACTACAGTGGTGATTTCTAAGCATTTGTGTCCTCGAACATCGCCCGGATTTCTTATTTGGCGCATTTCATGCGTGCGCTCAAGTTCAAGGTATTACTGGCGCGTACCGTGTGAAGGATGCGAATTTTCACGCGTTTTCACCTCCGGAGAAAAGTGATTAGGGTTAGCAATCCTGAACGCTCTCAACGTCCGTCCGCAACCCGCGACGCCGTTAAAAGGCTGCGCCAGGCAAAAGCTGCTATTTCTTTCAAAATGTGTAACAAACTTGAGACAGAACTGTACTAGTCAGGTGAAATAAAGACTTTCCTCAAACTAAGCTTTATTTTTCATTTAACATAAAATAAATTCTTTTCACAAGTGTAAGTTGTCTCATGGCATGTATTTTGGCCTGAAAAATTGATGTTTTGGTTATAGTGCGGTACCGCTTATAGTGCGGATTTTCGCGACTCCCGCGACATACGTTATATGCGGTCTACACTGTAGCAGGCAGCTAGGTCTGGAGAGCCTGCACTGCCAGGATGCAGAAAACCTCTCGTTATCCACAAACTAATACCGAAAAAGACGTCTTCTCCTGCGCCTTTTTCCTTCGACTTTAAAGTTTTCTATTTTTTCTCCCACCACAGTCTTGGGTTTTAAACATCATGATTAACTACCACCAGCTAGCCTGCCTGCGCACTCACTGCCTTTTCATTAATCAAAAGTAATCCTGTGCAATGTGCTTACCCGATAGAGTGTAAAACTGTTCCAGCTTCCATTGCCTTGTCTAAAACTGACATCATTCGTGACAGATTTCAGCTCTCCCCTAAAATGGCGATTTTGGGGTTCTGGTTGAGTTTATTTTATTTTATTTATTTCTCGTTGTCTTTGTATACAGGATGATGGCGACGAGTTCCTCTACACGGGGAGCGGGGGCCGCGACCTTTCGGGCAACAAGCGTACAGCCGAGCAGTCTTGCAACCAGGAGCTCACCAAGTACAACAAGTGAGCGAGCCAGCCTGCTTGGTGGAAACACCAGGGATACTCTGGGGCCGCTTAAGATCACGTCCGCAGAAGGATGGCCGAAGCCCGACAGAAGGCAATGAGCGCGTGTTGGAGACGGAGCCAATCCTGCAGATCTTGTAATATACCGAGATGCCCCACCCCCATAAGATAGCCCATTTTTACTAATTGCTGGGCCCTGGCCAATGGTGACCTGGGCAAAAACAGTGTTACTTAACCATGGTGAGAAATAAGCGAACATTGCTGAGTCGGAAAGACAGTGGTTTTTGCTTCATCGCCCCTTTCTGCGATCGCAAGATTCGAGGGTCACAAAATCTGAAACTAAAATTTTTTCACCTTTTTTTATGGCACATTGAAAGTTAGCTCACCCCTTATTTTCTTCTGATTTGCTATCGATTTTAGGCGGGCTATATATCTCCGGATATTACGGTAAATGCAAGCACTGCCAAAATATTACACTAATGAAAAACCGCGATCCACTTTGAAACCAGTATTAAAAATGCTATCACCAGCTTCTCAGTGGACACTCAGCAAGTTTGCTATTTGTCAAGCAACCTTGTGCCTCGATGTCATGCTGCTACTTTTGTTCTCAAGGAGGTAACTTGTTTGTACCGCCGCTTCTTTCGCCATGTTTTTCTGCTGCGTTTTCAGCCGTCCTAGCGGATGATTTCTGCTTGTTATGTTATGTTTTAGCGGCCGTAGTTTGGAAGTGCTCCTCATTGATTGCGAATGAAGGTTAATAACTCCTTGCTTGAACTGTCTGCGATACTGTGTGCGGCCCACAAGGTGCACGAAGAGGCACGTCAAGGACCACGCCAGGCGGGAGAACGTATGGTTGTCTACCCCCACAGCAGAGAGGCGATTAGGCGCCTTGGCAACACCCCCAGGATGGGCACACTTGCCTGCGACATCAAGACCATGAGCTCAATGCTCCTCAGACACTACGGCGTGGAGGTGAGGGTGGACTGGGTACCGGGACACACAGCGAACGTCGGCAACGAAGCCACGCACGCTTTGGTAAGCAAGAAGGAAACAAACGCTTCGTCCCGGCGCTCCAGGCCCTTCCCGCACCCTACGACCCCCATCCGACCGCCCGCTTTGGTGCAGCCAAGCCAGAACGAAGACATACCCTTAAGGAGCAAGTTCCGGCGAACGATCTCCCGCTGCCGCCAAGCTTGCCACGTGGAGCTCGGGTTCTAATCCACAAGGCCCGCGCAGGGGCTGCGCTAATTGAGGACATACTAGCCCAATAGCGGACTTATCGGAAAGAACTCTGACTTGGACGAAGAGGTTGCGCCCGCTGTATCGTGTTCATCGTGTACAATGGGTGCCCGCCTGACCGTTGAGCACATGCTGTGGGACTGTCCTGGCTACCAGAATCTCCGGCAGCAGCACCTCCCGCGACACGTTCAGACTTTCCTCGAGTGGACCACTCCAGGTAATGATGACCAGACCCTGGACACACTGCTCTCCCCGCGGAGGTTTGCAAGTGCCGCGGGCATCGACTGTCGTATGTGATCTCCTCCCCCTCCCCCCACTCCCCCCATTAGGCCTAGGAGACAGCCCTTTCCAAATAAGGAATTTTCATCATTCAACTCCCTGCTGGCTCAAGCGTGTCGTAGTGCCGAAGATGGCATTCACTGGCGGTCTTAGTTTAGTCCGTTCCTGCTCAGCACGAGCTTACGATTAGCTTCCACGGTGCTTCTGCAACGTGCATTGCATACCACTAAGTTTGTAGTTCTTCTCAGGGGATAAGTGGTGGCTCATTCTTAGCCTGTGCTGGGCCTGCGTTCATTGTGGAGAACTCGCTTTTTGGCCGGCAACTACAGATGTTCGATGTCTACGAAGCAACGCAGTAAAACAGCCGTAGCACCTTACTTGACTGATCGGAACCGTTCTTGACTTGACTGATCGGAACCAGTCTCATGTTTTGCTGTATTGCAGTATGAGCTTTGCGTCGCATGATGGCCATGCAGCTGATCACAAGGGTTACCATATGCTTGAGCTGGTAGTTTTGATTTCATTGTAGACCCCTAAACAAAACTTTGAGATGAGATATCTACTAAGCTATACGAGGCATCAAAAAAAAAAAAAAAAAACTGACACCTCGTAATTCAGGGACACTTCCTTCACTAAAACCCATGGTAACCACAAAATCAAGGAAAAGAACAGTAGTAACCCTTTAAGGGGAGGCACTCCCTTGGAGGGTCTACTTTTAAGTATTTCTGCCAGGTCAATCAAGCATGAAAACTTGGGAGAGTACACCAACTTCTAACAAAAAAGGTCTATTTTCTGACAAGTTACAGCCTTTTTTGTTGAAAAAAAAAAAATGTACATTTAGCAGTGCCGAGGGAAAAAACTATCGTTGCAAAATATGAATAAAATGCCACAATTTTTTGCTGGGATATAACACTGAATGGCTAAACTAATCGGTAGTAGGCTTGAAATAATTTTTAAGGCCATATTTCACGTAAAAAGGAACTTTCAATAATGGTATCAATTTTTCATTCTTTTTGATTTGCAAGAGTCAAAATTTTTGTGTGAACAAATAATAATTTGCAAAACGTAAGCACATAGCCGAGTTCTCCGACAAATTTTACGCCAGAAAAGTCATGCATTAGACATGGGGGTGCTAAACTTGTGGAACGATAGTTTGAGCTGTGAAAAAATGGTGAGAACATGAAGCCAAGAAAACTCGTTTGAAAGCTCCCACAGTGTTTTACTTTAGATGGGGCTTGCCATTTCATCTAAAGTGCTCCAGTGACAGATGTCAATCCTTCCTTTGCATAGTCCCTCTGTGCCTTAGCCTTGGCTTCTATCTTTCTTCTTCTTCTTCTTTTTTTTTTTTTTTTTTTTTTTTTAGGGCATTTTGGAGGATTCGAGCACTTTCACTTGGGCCTTCGCAACCTTCGTCCTGGTGGCCCTCTCTCCGTACGATGCTTATGGTGAATTCCGCTCGCAAATCTTGAGCGCTCCAAAAGCGCTCAAATTGGAGCGCTCATATTCCGCTCGCAGATCTGGCTCGAGCTGGTCATTTTTCCCTCGTAGATCTCTCGCAACGCCCGCTCCACGGAGCGCCTCAAACCCTGCCGAACTTGCTCTGCGGGATTTCACAGATCTTTCCGGAAGTAGACAGAGCGCCTTCGCCATTTCCTTCTAAATCTGCAGTGCACATGCGCGGCGAGGTTGGCGGGCCAGTCGGGCCACGGTTGGGTCGTCGAGTTTGATCTGTTCGGGTGCGTCGGTTGTTTACGTGGGATTGTGACGGCTTGAACGCTTCCACCTCGCGTAGATCAGGGATACAAAGCCAGGACTGTGGGGCGTGGTAAATCGTAAGCGCTGACATCTGTGATCGTGAGAGGAAGAACGAGAAAAAGAGCGACAGAAAAGCCGGAGGCAGACGCAAGGTTAGGCCTGTTCATTCTGCAGCCAATGATTGTTTACCTTTTTACACTGCATTCTGCCGGCATTTTCCTGTGCAATAAAGCAAGAAGAGATTAGGCAAACCGTGCAAGTGATGGTTTGTTACCTCTGTGTTTATTAAAGTCGTACCAGAAATCTGAACTCCACTGCTGGCAATCGCTGTCCGTCCCCTGCCGCTTCGACGCAGCCGAAAGGTATGCGACGGTGCCGAATGTGGACGTCTTCGTTATTTGCAACATGAGTGCCATAGTACGTATTACTTTGCCCGGCCTGGTGTCTCGTGTTATTTCTGCGTCTGAAAGATCAGTCGGCTGAGGCGTTGGTGGGCTTGTCAAGTTCGATCAGCGGCCATTTTAAACGGCGGAGGGGGAAGCGGTGGGGAGGGGTGTAGGGGAGGTCGCTCTAAGAATGCGAGTTTATCCTCCGCTCGTCGATTCGGAGCGGGTCCCACGAAGCGGAATTTTGCCTCCCTCGCGAATTTTGTAAAGTGCTCCGAATCTATGAGTGGAATTCACCATTAGTGGCTCGTTGGCTGGGTGCCCATTTCCGACAAAGCTTCCTCGATTCTTTGAGTCCCCAGGTTAAACTCAAGGACTGCGAGTGCCTCGGCAAAGCTCCACGGGAGGCAAACTCCACCTTGGGGCACCTCTTCCACACCAAGGCATTGAAGCTCTCTTTGTTTCACATCTCGTGCTACAGGTTGGCCACAGGACAACAAATGTAAGGTGGACGCACTTCCCGGTCTCTGACAGTTCGAGAAAAGATACCGTGCACTAAGGGCACAACAAAGCACTCACAAATGCTTTGATGCTGGACACGTCAAGCAAGCGGTAGTCGTCGAGCTCTTCGCTTTCGGTTAGGCCTAGCTGCTTCTCGGGATCATCGGATTTGGGATCGTCTGTCGAGGGCACATAGAGCAACTAGTGAACGGAACGACTGACCGAAATCACACGCTAGGAGACCGTTATAACGTCATGTGGCTCGTCCTAGCGAGATGGAGCTCTTTGTTTCGCCAACGTGACCAATAAGAGCGTGCGCAGACATGTTTTCTACAGTGTTTTACGGTCTGTGAGCACAATATCACAAACAATGCTCTGAACAGAATGAAAGAGGGTGAGATGCTTATTCCAACAGGGGTTCCTGTCCACGCTAATCCTAAAAAACATGGAGGGAGCGCGCTTTGAAAATAGTTAATTTGTGTGATCAAATGCATCATCAACACACACGCACGGCTGCCAGCACGTTGAAAATTCTTTTTTTCGGAGTAAATACTTTACTTAGAGCAATAAAACTTTTGGACAGCATCCTTTACAAGTTCTGAAAGCTGATCCGCCTATTTTCCAAAAGCGTGAGATTTTTTTAAAAGATCGCCATTCCTAGGGTGTGTTTTTCCTTGAAACGAGCAAGTGCTGAATTACTGCCTGATCTTGTTTGATGATGACGCAAGCTTGTGGGCCTCGTGTTGCGCAGGTCACTGGCGCGCAATTGTGCGGCTGAGTTAAATGCCAAGGACGGCGCAGAAGCCAAGGACTGGCGGGCCGGGAAGCCCGTGCGAGTCCTGCGAAGCTACAAGGGACGCAAGCATTCCAAGTACTGCCCAGAAGAAGGCTGCCGCTACGACGGCATCTACAAGGTGGGCCGTCAATCTTCAATCGGGTTGTGGCAGTAATTGGGCTGGTAGCAAAACTAGTACACCAGCTAATTTCAGTCTCAATAACAGCTGGACCTGCTCACTGTGAACTCTGAAGAAAACTTTGCCTTTTTAAAGCATTCAAACCTCAATTTAATGAAATTTGCGCACTAAAAAGCTCCTTTATGCACTTCTCCAACTCCCATGAAATACATTGTGTTTTAATGCAGAATATTTTATGTGGCTGGTACCTAACCATATCCGGTGAGGTACCAGGCATTAGAAGTCGACAGGCCGACTGCCAGCGGAGCACTGATGCGTCTCTCAGTTCACTGATTGGATACGAGTGCCAGCCAAACCTCTTCCTCGAGTGCCTCCGTGGTACTCACAGCAGGGGTAAAATATCACATGGTCAGACATACAGCGGCGCTTTGCTCCTTAAAACGAGTGCGCTCTGGGCTTCCCCAGAGAAAAAGAACGCAAAAAAAGCAGACAAAAAAATAGTTCCTTGTTGCAATGGGTTTCTGAGTGTTTGGTGGCTCTTTCTTTAAGCTGGTGCCAGAGCTCTGCTCTGTGCTGCCGCGTTCTAGTTGTTCTGTTTACCGCACGTTCCGTCTACTGCATCTCACACTTCAACAGGCTGCGAGAAAGTCACAGTTACGCTGCAACCGCAAAAGATGGCGCCCACAAGTAAGACATCCAAGGAACGCTCACACACATACTTTGCATAACACAGGGACGGTTCTCGCCATCCGGTCTACACATCTATGCACCGTTTCTCAACACTGACACACCACATTCTGTGTTGCTGCTACCTTTGCCATGCTAGTACTGCGAAGGGGCGACTTTTTTTGTTCTCGATTTTATAAGCTGGCAGTCACTCGTATAATGGCTACTGCATTATCTACGCTAAAGGCCATTGCCTAGCATCCGTAGTATCTTCCAAATTGTCTTTCTGGAAGCAAGACATAGGATGTCATTTCGAGGTAAACTGACTTCCCTTCGTCTATTTTTAGAGTTATTGTTTGCCCTGGTTATGAATAAAGCCCGACCGTCCACTTTCCTGCAGAGCACACAGAGAGCTAATCATGGTCATTTTTGTCCAAGACTGAAAACAACAAAGCACGGGTGACGCTCTGGTACAAATGGTGGCCGACTCTGAAGCTCAGTGCGGCTCACCATTCTGGAATAAATCCCAGTGTTCGGGTTTTCAGTCTTTTCGGTACCTCTTAGTTAACTACTTTCCCATCGAAATCGCTACGGTTGTACATCCGAAGGTTTGACGGAAAAGCAGACGCGGAGGCCTCGTTTGAGGAAAGGTGGACTCGGACGAGGTCTATGTGGCGGTGTACGAACGAAGGAGCACGAGTCCAGCGAAGCCAACGGCCGTCGTGTGCGCAGGTGGTGAAGTACTGGCCAGAGAAAGGCAAGTCCGGGTTCATTGTCTGGCGTTTCCTGCTCCGGAGGGACGACCCCACCCCTCCCCCTTGGACTTCCGCTGGCAAGAAGCACATAGAGGAGCTGGGCCTCACAATGCAGGTGGGGGCCATTTCTCTGTGGCTTCGATGGTTCGGCTGCTCGTACAGAGTTTGTAATAAATCCTAGGTTCCAAAACTAGGTGCATAAAAGCCCAGTGGTTTGCCAGTGCACTCACTGCCAAGAGTTAGTTGAACACTCATTGTTTTAAGTTTTTTTCTCTTCCCCATCCACATACTTTGCATAAACTTTTTGCCGCTACGTTGGCAACAGTAGCAGCATGGTTTCTCTGATGCTGTAAAAAAAAGGGGGGGGGGGGGGTGAAAACTATAGGGAAGACAAACAGACTTTTCTCCTCTTCCCTTCTGTTTGACAGTGCTGGGTTGGTTAGAACATGGGCCCCAGGTGTAACACTGATGCAGCACTTTTGTCCAGTCTATGCCCCGCTCTGGCCTCCGCTTGGCGACACGGATAATCCTTAGCTATGGCCTTGTTTTCTAGAGGGTGTGGCCCTCTTCACACCTCTCCGATCAGCAGTTCAGTTTACGGTACAGTGGGTGCTATGCTAGCCCTGCCAACATTTCACCGATAAGTGACAGTGTCCAGGAAGCTGCTTTTCTATTTTCTGTACACAGGCATAGTTAATATCCACTGATGCATCACAGCGAAGGAAAAACCTTCACCTTTCTTTTTTGTGGGTGCAGTATCACTAAAGAGATTCTTAATTGAAATATTATTAAATTCTATGCCAGTCTTTTTTTTTTTTTTTTTAAGTTTGAAGCCCACTAACATGCCTTTTTCTATGGTGGCATTTTTTTTTCCACATATGCTTGGGAAGAAAGTGTAGTGCTGCCTTTCTGGCGCCATGAATGAGAGTATATAGGGATGATTTCATCTCAAATTGTGCATGTTGACGGAAACTTTGCGACTAGAACAAAAGTGCAAATTAAAACTGCAAAAATATTTTTGTTCTTAAGTTTTGGGTCTTGAAAGGGCAGAAGGCAGGTCTCGCCATTTTTGCAGTTTTCACGAGTGACACATTTTGGAGTCTTGCCACGTTTAGGTTATTTCTTTCACAACAATGATAGCTTTTATTGCTGCTTTATAAAACATATGCAAAGGAAAAGAGGTTTCTTTTAAACAGCTTAATTGGAAAAAGGGTATCAACAAAATCATTTAAAAATGGGGAAAAAAATTTAGAGCTATATTTATGGCACGAAACGAATTTTTAGTTGGCTCCCGCGGGACCCTGTGGAAAAATGGCTGCTATGGTTGTGGTGCTTGCACTTTTTCAGGAGCTTCCTATGGGCTCAACAAAAAAAAAATGATGATTAATAAGTAACTTTTAGAGACCATAGAAAGATGGCGAAAAAGTGCAAGCACCACATGATAGACCTGTGCACCAGTCAGAAATTGATGGCGGCGACCTCCAGATTGCTTTCTTTTCGCGACAACATGGAGAAACGCCTTCAGCCGGCGGCATGCCATGCTCAGCGTACGGTGGCAGCGGGGGTGTTCTGGGGACTTCAGCGGCGGCGCTGAACGGCTCCAGCGTATCTTGCGGCAGCAGCGGCACAGCGCAATGGCGCACAGGTCTACCACGTGACTAGTGGCAGCTGCCGTGGGCGCCAACTACAAATAAATATAGCTCTAAGAAAAATTTCTTGACAATGTCATAAAAATTTATATTATAACATCTTTTTCCATCCATCATGTTTTAAAAATGTTTTTTCCTGTGCATACGCTTTTTAAAACTTTGTATACATGGGTTCCAGTTCTTTAGAAATGTGTTTTTATTTGATTTTATGAAATAAAAATTCTTGAATCTTGCACATTTGACAATAACGGGCCAAGTTTGAATCGAAGTAGGTTTCGATGTACAAATATGTAAGGGATTAGAAACGTCTAATGAAAGCTCTTATCTAAGCCTATTTAAAAACGATAATATTGTTAATTTAAGCGTGCTTTATATAGAAGATACAACACTAAATTTCAGAACAAAAGGTAAAAATACAAAATTTTTTCAGTTTTTTAAGAATATGTAATTTTTATGTGAAAAGTTTTTTTTAATGTGTTTTCATATGTGCAATAAAATTTCTAATAAAATATGCATACAGCTTCGTTAAGAACAGATGTCTCTGGGTGAGAAACTTACTTCGATCCCAGAGGCTGTGCAATACCACCAATATTGCACTGCCTCCAGGCTAAAGAGCCTCGGTTAGGGCTTGCACAGAGCCATATATGTAGAGAGTTTGGCCATTCGTTGGGAAGTATAGGAGACAAATCAGGAGGCGCCATTGGCCTAAAGCGGGCTGGGCGTGTTCCAAGGAGTCTTCAGAAATTCGAATGTGACCAACCAGAAGCCGGAAATAATACCCTGGCAGTGGTCGTGAGAAACAAACCTGATAACTGCATCGGAGTAACTCTCAGTGATTGAAAATATGGTGCACGTGATGTTTCGATCACGCTCATCCAGAATGATGGTGGAAGAGTGCGACTAGCGGAACGATCGACATAATCCTTACACCAAGCGCCGAGGGCTGGGAATCTGCCGTCCGAGCGGTCGCACTCTGTCCGAGCAAAACAGAGTTGAGCGGCGCATTCGTTTCTTACAACTTTCTGCATGATCATGATCAAAACATCACGTGCACCCTACTTTCAACCACAAAGAGTAACTACACTTACGCGCTTATCCAAATTATATGTGAAGATATACCTTTGATCAGAACTGTTTCTCGCTACCACCACTAGGGGATTCTTTTCGGCTTCTGGTTGGTCAAGAGAGCGTGCCAAGTCCTCTTTCCGAGTCTGGTGCGCGCCCGTCTCTGCCCGTGCCTCCCATTGACCGTATCTCTCTAGCCGCGGCAACTGTGGCCCTGTGGCAGTCAGTTTTTCACGCCGCGGCAGCTAGAAGCGCGACTACCTCGGCTGCGCAAAGGAGTTGTTTGTGGCTTAATGGAATGTGGTCTCAGGTTGTAGAATGGAATATCAAGGTGTTCTTTCATTAATTATTTTTACTGCCACCTGAGCGACGGAAACGCCACAGTGTTGTTTACCTCATTGTCCCTCGATATTTTTTAAAATTCAGGGACCTTACTACTTTGAGCGCGGCGCTTGTATTCGCATCGTCAGCCGCGGCCCAAGAGAGCATTCGCACTATCCCAAAATGTAACGCATTGCAAATAAAACTTTTCAGTCGAGGTTTCTAAAAAAAAAATTGTATCATCTTGGAATTCGGATGAACCGTGACCGCGTCATTGAGATTGTACTGTGACTGCCCGTTTAGTGTCTCTGGAGCTAAGGAAGGTCTGTGTGTTGCAGTATCCCGAGGGGTACCAAGAGCCTCAGAATGGGGAAGAACACAACTCGGAGAATGAAGTTCCTGCCAAGAAGGGAAAGCGCTCCCGAGGTAAGTGCTTCCGTTGGTGCTACCCCCTCTGGCGCCTGCAGGGGGTGCTGGGACATTCAGCCAGAGTGTCCCAGTTTAGAGGGATAATTTCTGCTACACTTAGTTTTACCTTGCGTTAAACCGCAGTGGATCCTTCAAGCCATCCTAGCCAATCCCGCGCATCACTGCACCCCTCCCAAAGGTCACATGATGCTCATACAACATTGCATTGGCTTCAAATGCTCCCCATGTCCCTTGAAGTTTCTCGTGTAATGGCAAGAAGTACAAATGTTTACAAAAATTCCAAAAGAAATTTTTTTTTTTTATGGATAATGATGAAAAGAGTTTTATCTTTTGCTCAGACTTTCTTTGAATCTTCTATCTAAAAAGGAGGGAATACGATTGAGTTGGCTGGCAGTGTCTCCTTCCCTCGGAATTGAGGAGGAACAACGGGACGGGTCAGAAGGTTTTCGAAAGAGGTAGACTTTATCTTGTATCACTACCAGCACTCTGTTTTATTGAAGGATCTTATTTGACCTTTTGTGCATTTCGTATTTAGGGATTTTCGGTGCGATGCGATTTCTAAATGGAATGTCTCTTGTTGGCACTATCAATCCAAATACACAATTATGTCAGAGTTGTTTTTGATGGTGCTGCCTCGTAGCGCCAGAGAACATCTGTGCAAAGGCGTATCACAGCAGAAACATTGCGAGCGACAAATGCAATACGAAGGGGCGGGTTCTCGCGTTTGTCAATGTTTGTTTTTATTTAACAATGCTTCATCAAGGGTGAAAGCGTCGGGAGCATCATGAAAGCGACGGGAGCAAGCGACCAAAGCGCTGAGCGACGTGACGAGCGACAGTGAGAAATCTCCGTCGCTTGTCGCCGACTCTCGTCACTGTTTAAATCGCTGACTTGTGGTTCAGTAACGACCCGAACCACAGCGGCGTGGCGCCAAGAATACCGAGCACTGACACCGATTATGAACTCCATTTGAGGCAAGAGTGACTAGCCTGCCCAATGCCCCCCCCAGCCCAAGCCGAAAAAATACAAAGGGACTACTACTAAGCGCATGAACCAGCAAACAGGAAACGGATCAGCGAAGACGCGCGCCATCTTTGTTTTTGCTGCCGAATCTGGATGCCAACTGGTGCCACCTAGCGACTAAAAATTGAACCTGGAAGACTAAATCGACGAATTAACCGGGTAGGCATGCATGGAGTACTCATATTATCCGGTCATATTTTCATGAGAAGTCACGGGACCGTGGAAATTTTGCAAATTATCTGGGACTCTGAATAAACCGAGATAGAATTATCGAGGTTCTACTGTATATGGTTGACATTTGCCATGTCTGCTTCCGATATCCTCTAACGTGGAAGCCGATTAGTTCTAACTTCTGGTAAAGCAGACGCCATGGAACGCGGTGCTCTGGAGACACTCCGTGACTCTAGGGTACGGCATTGCAGGGGGCGCATCGGAGGCGTCGTCTCCGACCCCCAAGAAGCAGCGTGCGGCCAGCTTCTCCCTGGAGGCCCCCCTGGCCAAGCAAGTGCGGGCGGACGCCTGCAACGAGCGGCTGTGGCAGGAGTGCCTGACCCTGGGCAAGGGGCGCCAGGCATTCCTCGACCGGGTGCAGGAGCTCTTCACCTGCGTCTGCTGCCAGGAGCTCGCCTACCTGCCGGTCACCACGCCCTGCTCCCACAACCTGTGCCAGGTACGTCGGACAAGTCCTTCCCGGGCTGGGCCTTACCGCAGGGCGTGTGGCGCCATCCGTGCCACTGAAAGAAATGCCGGGAACAGCCTGCATAAGACTAAGGTGCCCGGAACGTCTCTTCGACTGGCGCATTCACTGCATCCTAAAACGAGGTCTCTTGACGACGTAGACACGTCGGGTCGTCGTGGGCTGCGATCTTGGCGGCCTCGCAGCAGCGACGGCAGATGTGGCGGATGCCCGTTCCGCTGCAGTCCTGTTAGTACAGCCAATAATTAGTGACTCTTCTTAAGGACTAACTAGTGACTCCTAAATGCAAAAAAATCTAAAACGAATGGCTCTTTGCATGTGTCTTTGTCAAAGCCTTAGTTCAGTGTTTAATTTAAATCTTTCGAGTAGGTAGCACGCAGCTTGTGTATATTTATGCTCTGAGCATTCTCCTTCATGCGTGGGCATCTTGGCAGAAGGCCTGTTAGATTTACTGAAGAGACTGGTGTGTCTGTGAATTTTCAACTGATGTGTTTAGATGTGATCACTTACAAAGCTTTTTTTGGATACTGCCAAATTTTTAACCCATTTTTTTTTTTTTTTTCCGATTACAGGCTGCGGCTCGGCACTTTACAGTTGGAGTTAAATGCACTGAGATTTTTTCTCTGAAGATTAGAGATGGCTCGGTGAATCTACCGTAAATGAACCAGATGTGCAGAAATGCAGCCCAAAGTTCCCGGCTAAATCTGCCCGCTTCCGGTCTAGATCAGTGGTCTACGACGAGAGTGTTCTCATTGAGCTGCGGCTTCCCTCCCCTAATGCCATAATCTAAGCAACAGAACCACTCAAAAACGGCCCCTATGTCGAGCCGGTGCAACACTGCATGATGGCTCGCAATCAATTTCTATGTTCTATTTTTTGCACTCGGCCCTTATAATGAAGGAATTTGTACAAAGAAAGCTTTAGCTGGTTCAGCAGAGTCAATTACAAAGGCATTTTAGTGTACAGATATTCCTATGGGAGTTCAACGAGACCGGCTTTCATGGGTGTAATAGCGGGGAAAGCATTTCAATCTAGAGCTATAGTTTTGCTGCTTGACTCTGTTTGTGTGCCAGGTAATTTGGCAGCGTATATGTTGAGTCGTACAACAATCCATTCAAGCAGTTTGATCTGTAGCTGGAGTGCCAAACACCAGTGCACCAAGGATGAGCTAGACTGCTCACTCAGCAGATCTCTCACAATATGTACACCATAAAATCCCAAGTTGGAGTTAATCACAAGAAATGGGAATGGGCGCTTGTTAGTTTCGAGACAGCCGGGGCACATGGTGGGGCCGGCTCTTGCTTGGCCCTTGTTTGATCTGTCAGAACGATATAGGAATAGCTTAGGGTCTGGCTGAAATCCTAGTTTCCGAAGCAGCCGCACTGCTCTTGTCAAGCTTGCTTCACATCGGCGGATGCACATAAAGCTTTATCACTTTGCACTGGCTTCTCAGAGAAACGTCTGCCGCTGGAGGAACGCCTCGGTTAGCTCAGTGGGGGGTCAGAAGTTTTCTGGGATAGAAAGTTAATATGTCTTTCGCTTTTATTGAAAGTGAAGGCATCCGCTGATTGCGACAGCTCAGTATTTTACCGTAAGACATTAAAAAGGAATTGAAGAAAAGTTTGTCTGCTTCTTTTGCAGGAGTTGTGGTGACGTAAGAACGCCGAACTCTCATTGGTTCTGAATGAAGGATAGTGGGTAGACCTCGAGGCAGCTTGACTTGAGGTCTACTCACTATCTTTAAATCGGAGCCAATCGGAGCTCGGCGTCTTCCTGACGTCACCGCCACTCCTGCGCAAAAAGCAGCCGACTTGCTCTCTGCATAGGCAGTTTTAGAAAAAAAAATTGTGAGCCATTCCACCTTGTGAAGGTGGATGATAAGTGAAGCTGTTTAGCACACAACACGGGACCGCCACCCTGGGAGAGCGGAAGGAAAGGAAACTAGGCACCAAGTGCTTGGAACGACGACAAAAAGAGGGCGGTGCGAGTGGGTCGCAGAGCGGCAAATCTTTGAGAAACCTTTATTATCTGCCTGAGAGTCTGCTGATCTTGAAAATGGTGCCTATTGATAACTTATCTACTGAATAGACCTACTGCTAAATTGTCCAAGCATCAAGGAGAATGCAGGAAATGGTTTTCTACAGTGAAACCCATTTAGAAAGAACCCACGTACAGCGAATTATTGTCGATATCGAACTCTCGGAACATTTAAATAAAAATGCATGTAACAAGTATGTTTTATAACAAACAACATATTGGCTATATCAAACTCTTTCTCCCAGGGAAGGCTTCCAAAAACTCGCAAAGAATCGTCTTCTAGCCTGTCCCTTCCCCCAAAAAAGAAGTAGGAAAGAAAGAAATTTTTAGAAGCTCAAGTTACGAATGAAATTGAGCAAACAGAAGCGATTTAGAAGAAGAGGAAGGTAAAAAAATACACTCTGCATGCACGCACAGAAAAGAAAAAAAAAAATCTTTTGATCCCAAAGTGTTTGCCCACAAAGAGAAGCGATTCAGAAGTAGAGATAAGCTAAAAGAACAAACTGCATGCATGCAAAAAAACAAAACAAAAATAAACATCCCAGCGCATTGTTACAAGGCGGCAGTGAAGAGATGAGAAAGAAAGAGAAGGTCTTCACCTTACAGCAAACTCATCTTGGAAGTTGTTTGTAAATGTTTTTTGCTATATCGAACTACTTGCTACTATATTCAACTGATCCTAGCATTTCCTGCTTTTCGTTATAAACTGGTTTGACTGTATGCACCGCACGTGCCAGCTTCTGCAGTAGTAACTGTTCTAAAGCAAAAGCCTAAAACAAATGGCATCTTGCATGCACGTTCATCCAATTTTATTTTGGCTATTTACTTTGAATCTTTTTTACAGGAAAGGCGAGCGTGTGTGGGCGGTGCGAGCGTAAAGCTTTTAGTCACTGCAAACGAAAAATCCACGGAACCCCAGCCATAAACAGCGCTGTAAAATAATTTACGCCTGTTGACGGCGTTATTGTTGCGTTTCGCACCGCGACAAGACAAATCAAATGAGGGCTTAGCTTGGTACAAGGATTTTTTCAAACTCGGCTGCATGCACGCCTCCAGAAAAATGCAAATGCAGAATTTAACCCGTTCTGGCGGCTTGTACAATCACGAACGATAACTGCACATTTTTTGATAGTTGGAATGTTTACACCAAAGGTATCCAATTTTTTACGAAGCAAAACTGACAAGTGCCAGAATATGTTGGCAAATTATTCAATTAATTATGTTGGAAGATTTAAATACAGGTGGCGCTAAACTCAAAATGCCGCATTTTGCCACATGTTTCATTTCAATACTCCATTCTCCACATGCCCGAGTGCTTCGAGATTTTTCATACCATACAAAATAGTATGTAACTGCCCTTCCTCAGCAACTTATCAACTGGCACAAAGTCTTCAAGTATGTAAGAAAACATGTTCCTTCTTTTTCCTTTTTTATTTTCACCGTAAAAGCTTATTATACGAGCCAAACGGTTGTGCAGAGACTAAATGTAAGGATACAGAAGTTGTTTGGATGGCGTGGAAGCTCGTGCCGTGCACGGTAGTCGGTGGGTTAGGCGAGGCAAGGCAAATTGGAAGCCTGCTGCACCATTCAAAACCAAATTTGATGTTCATATTTATGCGGCGTAAGGTCAGTCTGCCTCTGAGGTGCACAACGCTGGTTTACGCCGTAGAGGAGAAATTTAGCCAGTGCAGTATGTCTGCTAGCCTGGGGTCTTTAACGTGCATCACTGAGTGACGATAAACGACCACATGCTGGTATGACGCTCATCCAGATCCAAATGCGCAGGGGTGTGGATTGACCCCAGGATCCCTGGGTTTTGCGGCGCGAGCTTCTGCTTTTTGTGCTTTGAGCCAAGGTGCGCTAACACACTCGGCCACCGATCCCCTGATGCACCATTCATTACAGATGAATGTGCCTGTGTTGGGTTGTGCGAATATTCGAAATTTCAATTAGTAGTTCCGAATAATACACTATTCGATATTCGCTTCGAGAAGAACTGCACTATTCGTGTTTTTCGAAGTGTTGATTGCCGCGGGTTGGCCCCGTTGAGTGCGCTTCTTACCAAGCACCGGTGCGCTGCGGAGAAGCAATACCCGCGAAAGCGAGCTTCGCGGGTGTTGCTTCTCCGCAGCGCACCGGTGCTTGGTAAGAAGCGCACTCAACGGGGTAACCCGCCGCGGTAAACTTTGAAAAGTATGAATATTGTAATTGCATGCTTGGAAGTGAAGCGTACATTCAAAGCGGTATGGTGCACCTGTGCCGACTGTATTTGAAAATAAATGAAAACTCTGTGAATGTGTATATCTACATTGCAGTAAAAGTTTTAAAATTAAACTGTTATGCAAGAGTATACTACCTATGTTAGGCAGAGATGCCCTTACAACCTGCGTTCATCATGCACGATTCATTCTTTTTTAACTCGAGATTAAAGAAAGAATATTTTATATAGCAAGATTTGTAAATTAACTTCATTGGGTATAGTTGGCCATCTCTACAGGATTCATTTCATGTCACATTCGTCGTTTACTTGCCATCCCAAGATACCAGACCTTCTGAGGTCACAGTTCATAAATATAGATAGATTAAACTTAGCTTATAAATGAAGAAGTGGAACAACCTTCACAAGTTTAGCTGGGTTTTCGTCAATGGTAGTGAAAGGCGTGGAAAAACTATTCGATATTCGAATCGAAAATATTCGGCCAAAACCACTATTCGCTTCGAATTCGCTTCGAACTCAAAATGCACTATTCGCACAAGACTATGCCTGTGGGTATGTGTTCTAAGCTAAGGACGATGATAACAGTCCAACTCCCTCGTGTATTGAAACGATTCTAAGTTTTATTCTCCGTCCAAAGGTGGCTGCGCACGGAGGGCATGAAACATGACCCTCGGACCCGATTGACGTGCCCACTCTTTACACCAGGCGGTGTTGCGTGCCCTGCCTGCTGCGTGCTCCGTCTGCTGCTTACTGTATGGCTGCTTGCTGGGAGCCTTGACCGCATGAGGTCGCCACTTGCCTAATAATGTGGTGACCATGATAGATTTGTTCTAAAGCAAGCTTGATAGGGCACACCCGTATTCGCCAACACCATTTCTCTCCAAATTCTCCATTAGGGGTTAGTGCGAACCCAAACCCAAAATGCAATTTGGGTTTGGCGCACACGCGGGGTGAGCCCCATTATGGGCCCCTGGAATTGCACTCCCATGTTCTAAGACTTCCTAGTACCTCATAGAGTGCACCGGCGTACTACACTTGACAACTTTTCTTGGCAATGCAGTGGAGGGTACAGGCATGCATTCTCTCTCCTGTTTCGAGCGCTGAATAAAGCTGTGCGTGGGCTCTTCCTTTCTACTGCATTGCCAAGAAAAGTTGTCGCCGAGTGTAGCACTGTGAACCTGTTGCAAATCTCATCGTGTTTGGGTTTAAGCTGGCACAGCAATCTCTCGCAATTGCTCATTAAATATCCATCTTTTTTCAGGGATGCCTTAAGAGATCCTTCAAGGCAGAAGTGTTCTGCTGCCCAACCTGTCGCAAAGACCTTGGCAAGGACTACGAACTCAAAGTGAACACGACGCTTAGTGGAGTGCTGCAGGCGCTGTTTCCTGGCTATGAAAATGGCCGATGAGCTTCACGTGTGTCCTTGGCACTGGCCGCCATGTTTCTGGGCCGAACTTTGAAATGTGACTCTTACGGTCGTGCTCCCAGTTCTGTGTTACAAGTGGTCCTTTTTTTGTTAGTGTATCACAGATGAATATGTGCACCATGGCGTCTTATGTGTGGAACAATTGTGACAAGCAATTGCGTTTGTTAGCGTGATTTACCTGGGTGGGGAAAAGTAAGCTTTCTTCCAAACATTTAGTTTCTTTTTGTGTTTAAACATTTTCTTATATGTTCTGTTCAACCATCAAAGAGTCATGCATATTTTGATTAATTTTCCATAGTGATGAGACAACTATTTTGTGGCGTTTCTAGTTATGTGAAACGAAATCCCAAGTAGTAGTATCTTTGTGTCCAGGCTACTTGTGTTTTGATATGCAAGTTCTGCAAATTCGCTCATTCCAATTGTTAGTTTTTGTGAGTTGGCTGTGATTTGCTGTGAATCTGAACAAAGTTATCCCTAATGCAGCTTTACTTCCTTCAGTGTTTTTATTTTAGATAATTGGGTTTTAGGTTTTACTCAAGAACTCTTGACAAAGACTGCTGCAGCATATTTATAAATTAGAACCTCAATGCCTGTTGTTTGACTTGCAGCAAAAGCATCAGACTAGGTTTCTTAGGCACTTCTTACGAGGGAAGTGAATGCAAGGTGGAAAGGTTGCAGCATTTGAAAATTCAGGGTATCTCCAATAAACACCAGAATGACAGCCATTATTCTACTAGCGTGGTTATTCCAGAGCCAAACTTCTCAGTGATATGTTGGCCACCTCTGTGGAATGCCCTTGGATACCATGTGCTATATGGAAGTGCCATGTGTAAGCAATTTCCTCACCACATGCTGTCTACCGTAAAGTTCCGAGAGAATGCCCGCCCCTGAGAGATTGCCCACCCCATTTTTCTGGCTAAATATCTGTAACATAAAACTTCCGAAACATTGCCCACCCCCCAATTCTTGTCGGACGTCATGCGATGTCCGACGGGAATCGCATCAACTGTGCATTTTGCTGTACCGGCACAACTGACAAGCGAATTCATTGCGGGTACCTGCGTTTTTGTCTGCAACCTGTGCACGCAATATCGGTTCCCGTAACATGCGAGTTTTTTCCCACGTGTATGTTGCAACGGGAAATGCAAATCTGCTGCGGCAACAATTTGCGGCATCCATTCCCGTGACATAAAGTTTAGCAGATTCCCACATTTTTGTCCGCGATCTGCTTGCGCATATTTGATTTTATGTGAGTTGGTCCCACGTGTATATTGCATCATAAAATATGATTCTGCTGCGTTCGCGATATTTGCTTTCGTAACATACGAATTTGTAGCGGATTCCTGTGTTTCTGTCTGCTATCTGCATGCGCAATATCGGTTCCTGAGACAGGCAAGTTTGTAGTGGGTTCCCGCATGTTTATTACACCATAAAACTTGAATCTGCTGCGTCTGCAATTTATGAAATTCATTCCTGTGAGATGCGAGTCTCGTCGAGTTTCCGCAGGTCCTTCGCACCATGAAACAAAAAATCTGCTGCGCTCGCCACCTGAAACACGAATTTGGGGCTTCAGCAGTCTCCGGTATCAATTAGCCCACGCCATGTTTTTCACCATTTATCTCTTTATTTTAGGTAGTTCCATAATTTGGTTCTAGTGCATTTTGTGCATTTAGGGAAGGGTCAGAAAGACCTTCACTGTTTATTCAGATTTGATGCATCCTTGACTTCTTGCTGTGCAATTCTACTTAAACGGGAACTTCTTTCTTCAACTATAAAGTTTTCTCTTCCTTGTCCCATTAAGCTTTCATTTTATGCAGCTGAGGAAGCCAAGTAATATCTCTTCTTTAATAGATGCGTTTTTAATAAATGTTCATTCCACTAATGACAAAAGGCTTGTCGGCTATGAAAGCTGCCAGGCTGAATGGTCATTATTCGCCTTGCCTTCTAATGCTGCTACATTTCTGCATTTCCAGCCCAGCCCTGTTGTAGCAATGTTCGGGATTGTGATTGTAATGTATGCGAGCTTCTCTAGACGGACACACTAGCATTCTGGTCCGACCAATTAATCAGATTTCCCGGGAGAACTATTCGAAAAGGATCCTCCTAGTGGCCTCTCAGCGAAGCATCAGTCGCCCCTCCAAGGCTGTACATCCTTTGTACCAGCTATGTTACCAGAACTCGGTGGGGAACCTCGAAATAGGGACCCCTCGCGTTCACTGGAATGAAGCCACTGTGAGCCAGGTTTGGTTTACAATGCCACCCCTTGGCGTTCAGGTTGGTTTGTTGATTAATTGGTGGCACATGATCAGTCTTGACAAGGGGGCAGTAAAAGCTCACTTTGCAGACACGGGAAAAACTGTTTTATTTTTAAGCTGCTTTTGTGACTTTCTGGATTGGACAGTTTGCAAGAAGGCTGGAAGCCGTAGCGTGGTGCAACTGCAGTGTTGGACAAAATACTCTATAAAAGTTAAGTCAAGTTACTAAATACCTGCGTCATAAAGTTCTGGTGACGCACTGTGCGTCACCAGAACTCTGTCTTGGTGAAGTGTGTAACCCTCTGGCGCTCGCTGCCAAAGACGCTGACCGACTGTCCACCCCAGGAGAAGGAGGACCTTAAAGCCTGGTGCAAGGAGGCATCGGACTTCCTTCAGCAGTGATCTTCTATGGGAAAAAACCTTGCATGCTTCATTGTCATATTTATTTATTTATTTGTTTCTTTTTCACAATATGTAGTAGTGCGGCACCACAGGCCTCAGGTATAGGCCAATGGCCTTTCTGTGGTGCCGCAACCCTCCAGGGTTGAATAAAGATATTATTATTATTAAAGTATTTAAAGTACTACTCAAGTTACTTTCACTGTAAAGTATCTTGAGTAGAGTACAAATACTTCGAAATGCATTTCAGTTACTTTTGAAGGTACTTCCGCATTGCTTAATTTGTATCGACGTCGTTGACAACGACAATTATGGAGCTACGCAAATCTGAGTTACCAGAATGGTTTATTAGCACGCAGCAACACAAAGTGGAAAAAAAAATTATCGTAGGGCTATTTTATGCAGTCCGACTATAAAGAGCAAAATATTGTCACGAATGATAAATGATGAGGCGGCGAATAACTAAAGAAACTAAACGTTTAATGGGGCGAACTTGTTCCCAAAACAAAAGGGAAAGGCTAGCGTCGATGTCGACGAAAGAGCAGGATCGACCGCTGGGGCAAGACTGACTCCGGACCGCCACTCTGTGCACCTTTTGTACCCGCGTGGGTTTCTGTAACATTCGGCGTAGAAAGATCAGCGCGTAGAACATTCGTAACTCAATCAGACGACAAAATTCTCGAACTTGCCAGAATGTCAAGTTGAAGGAATAAATAAAAGAGAAGTCCACTTTCTGGTATCGAACTTGGAGCCTCCGCGCGAGAGCCAAGCGCAGTGACCATTCGGCCACGCTGGTCAACGCACGTGGCAATATCACTGATAGATGTTACAAAACATGTCTGGGACAACAAGAAGGAGGTCACTTTAGCTGTTGGGGAGGAGATCAGACCGTGGTGCCCCAATCGGTTAACTTTAGAACTAGATGGATGGGGACAACAAATACAATGGCTCAGCGCTCGGCTGACTTAACCGAACCTGGCATCGGCGCTCGGCTGGAGTTTGTGTTCTCCGATGAGGGGGAGGAGGGGCTCTTTTGTTACCATTCCGGCCTGCATGAACAATGCAGCATGCAGGGTGCCCAGCTCAGCACAAAAGCCCAAGTGGTTCAAGTTCGCATCCTCTGACGACTGCTTTTGGGGGAGATCCGGCACTTAACGTCACTCCACTAATTGTTGGTATTTTTTTCATTACACTAGGACCCGCGCGCTATTAAAAAAAGATGACACGAACATGTCCACAAGGCCTGTGGCCATGTGCGTAGGCCTTGCGCTGGGTAAACACCGAGGTGTGGGGGGGTGACAGACGGGTCTGAGCGCTTCGCCAATAGTGACATCGCTGAATATCGCATCCTGCGGCGCACCTTAGACGCATCGTTTTACTACAATCCATATTCACTATAAACGAACTTGGGACACGGATATGTGTGAATGGATAACAAAGACAACCCACATAATAGCCACGGCAGTGGTCGCACCTTTAAGTAGGTTGCGTTCAGAAAGGCACTCAGCGTTGGGGGGCGCTTTTTTGGGATTTTGAAGGTCGTCCAGCTCGCAGTTTGTTTCCTGTACTGTTCTCTGCTTATCAATGTTCCCTTGCAGACAGTGTTCGCGAGAGCAATAAGTGCCGGATTGACAACACAAAAAAAGAAAAAAAACGATGTTTTGCTTTAGGGGTCGAATATACAAAAAGCAAAACAAAAATGCCTACTTTTTTGTGTGTGTCCACTTCTCATTTTCTTCTATTTGTTGTTTCTTGACGCTTAAGTCTGCATTGTTCTCGTAGGTCGTTTCCCTGTCTGCTTGTGCCTCCGGGTGGCATCTTTACTTCCGTAAAACCACACCTTTGGTTTGAGGATTTTTTGGGGGGGAAACTATAGAAACAAAAGGCACCTTTGGGAAGGCAAGGGGAGAACCTTCATTGTACGAACTTTGGGTTGAAATATGAGCCACAGTCGGCAAAAAAGCTATATTTTCACGAGCTCACTTAAAGTCACCGTAGCTAATCGGAGCTAGCAACAGGATTCGGTTGCTTGTAAGAATGTTCACGTTTGCTCGTGCCACGCCCACCCCACTTCATACCGAAAAACTCGGAAAATGGCGGAATGTCAAAAATGTATTTAAGATAATGAGTACAAGATACTCGGAATTGTAATTAAAAGAGAGTTTTAAATACTATTCATCAAAAGTATTTGCAAGATACTCCAAAACGTATTTAAGATACAGTATCTTGAATAGAGTATTTGAGATAGGCACAAGTCTGTGCAACAGTACCATCTTTTCCGTTCTGGTATGTGTAGTCAGACCTGTATGTAATCTGTTACAACCAACGAAATTACTTTCAATCCCTTACATTTATCAGTAATTTTGTAAGGGAATAATTACAAATTTTACAAAGCGCTTGTAGAGTGATTTCCTTACTTGTTTACGTAAAGGAAGGATTGTAATGCGTTGCTTTACGTGTTCATTAACGGGGAAAAAGAGCGGGAATATAAAACCAACAAAAATATTGTTCCTATATTTCGTTTTTTTGTAAGGTTAAATTTTATTGAAATTACACTTGGTGACGGGTATGTCGACGGGTCATTTCTTGTTGTCGTACTTTATAAACTGCATTTGATTCTTTTCTGATCTAAAATACTGAACAAAGACTACTTTTATAAGTATTTGAAACAGTTTGCGCCACTTATATTTTGTATTTCGACTAAAAAGAAGCTTTTAGTGGCTCTGACGAGTAGTAAGCCAAAGACCAAAGACTTCACACTTTGCGCGTTTCCGGCACCGCAGGTCGCCCCCGCCCCCGTAGGTGAAGGAGGTTTCCGCGTCGTCCGGTTAAAA